GGGAAAGAAGGCAGACCAGGAAGGGGGCCTGGCAGTGCCGGGGGCAGTTGTGAAAAGGATCAGGTTGAGATGGGCCTCAGGTGGGCACCAGGGTCTTTTGGAACAGGGTGTGGAATGAAGAGTCAGGGAGTTGGGACAAGAGGTCATTTAATGCCTCTCATCAACATGCCTGTGTGAACGCCTTTCCTGCCAGAGTGGTGGCACTAGCCTCAGGGTATATACTCCAGGTGACTCAGCGCCAGTGGAAGAGTGCACTGCCTGAAGGGGACCCCCCACCCCCCACACACACTCACTCACTGTTCCATCATTGTCTGGGAAGGGGGCGACACTAACGGCACATGCAGTGGAGGTATTTTGGGATGCTGTCTTACTGTGCAGTTAGGCAGGTCGTTCCCTTACTTGTTTCTTTAGCATGCTGAGTGCTTCCTGTGTGTCCAGTGCCTTGTAATATTAACTACTGTAATCCTCAGAGTCAAGTGGTCCATGGGGTCCACACTGTCCCCTCCTTTCCTGCAGAGGGAGGACATGGGTGTTGCCAGGTGGATTGAGGGCAGAATAGGGCAGCCACCATAGGTGTTGCCGGAGTTAGCACAGTTGGAGCTTGACATCTATGTGTGCCGTCCCAAGGACACCCAATGAGACATTGTTTTGCTTTATCCTACATTGATTCAGATGACAAGGACCAGGATAGACTCCTGTTAATTAATGGACTTTCCCGGTTTGGGGACAGGGAGGAAGTGAGGAGCAGCAGCCCCTGCTGGGCAGGAGCCATGCAGACCTGCCAACGCCGGGCCTGTCCTCACAGTCTCGCCACCTCTGTGTCCCTTCCTCCTGGTCACAGCCCCTCAGACCATTCCTTTATGAAGAAGCCACGCTTAGGGCTGGCATGCCTCTCCTAAGACCCAGAGCGGTGAGTGGCCAGGTTGGAATTTGAGCCCAGGCCCTTCCTCCCCGTCTACTTCCTGCCAGGCCCTGCGGCCCCAGTCACTTTGGCTTGCGCTGCCTGGGGCGCATGGTCGAGGCTTTGCTTCCCTCAGGCCTGTCACACCAATTCACAGTTTTGTACATCATGTCCCATCAGAGTGCATGGCAGCACCACTTCTTGTGTTAAAAAGAGCCAGCTATTTTGTCTGACACTGATGACTGCCTGCTGTATATATACGCAGAGGTGGGTGCTGCAGGCTCTGTTCTCACCGCATTCGCAGTACAGTGGGGCCCGCAGACGGGAACCAGCGATTCCTCCAGGAGGTGTGGTGGAGGTGGCTATAGGGTCACATCAGGCAGCATGCAAGCCAGCAGGGCCATTGTCCCCCAGGGCCCTGGGGAGAGTGAGTGGGATGGGCTCTTGGACAGCCTTCTTGCCTTGCTGGAGAGGAGTGAGGCGTGAGGCTCTGTAGGCTGGCAGGGACATAGCCCAGGCTGTTTCTCACAGTCACTGACAGTCGTGTGACTTGGGGATGTGGGGAGGGAATGAGAATGGAGGCCATTTGGGAAGCATTACCACAGTTGCAGTGGTCGCAGCAAGGATTTTAGCTTTAGGGAATTGGGGGTGGCAGCTGGGAAGGGAAGGGAGGTGCCCAGGTTTCCAGCATGGATGCTTGGTGCAGGAAGTGACAACATTAAGAGGGTTTCTTGGTGTGTCACCGCTGGCTTCTGAGACAGGGTCAGACAGTGCCTTTAAGATGCACCATATACTGGGGGCAGATCTGGACAGTGGCCCATGGTGAGGGAGCTCTAAGGGCCTATAATGATGGATCAGTCCCCAGGGAGGCTTTGGTCTCAAACAGATACCAGTTGAACCCTGTGACTGGGCAGACTGACAGAGGTAGCCCATAGCCCAAGGGAGAGCTTGTGGAGTCCAGGTCCCAGCAAGGGGCCATGTGCCTGAGCAGGTGTCAGTCCTCACATCCATCTTCTCGGAGAGCTGGTCACACTCAGGGAACGGCCCTAGCCCCTTTTTCAGCTGGTGCAAGCACTATGCTACCAGGGTAGCCTGGGGTTCTTTGGCAGCCACCTCATAGGTGCCTGTGAGCACATTGCTCATGTTGGGCCGGACTGTGGTGGAACGGCCATTTAGGGTTCTCCCTTGTGAGCAGGCCCTCATCTTCCCGGGCTTTCTTGTTCGGGGCAGAGGTCACCTCGACTGCTGTTTCTCTGAAGCTGTAGTTTTTGCCCCTCGTTCGGGGCTGTCTCTTGTACAATAGTTTACCTTCGTTTTCCTTCATTTCGTGACAGTGGCTCTAAGGGTTTTGTTTTCAGGAGTCAGAGACCGAGAGGTGCCATTCATGTCCTGCTGCTCAGAAAAGCATCCTGGGAACGGCAGCCAGGTGCAGCTCAGGAGGAGCGGAATGGGACTTCGGGGAGCAACGCTGCTGTTCCGAAGGCGGCTGGGTCCTGACTGCGCCCAGTCCCACAGGCACACCAGGGCCAGAGGGAGGAAAGAAGGGGACCCAACCTTCAGCTGGCAGGTCAGGGCAGACCTCTGAGGGGAAGTGTAGGCTATTGAGAGAGAGCAGAGCCGCCTGGTTTCTTTTTTGCCCTGTATTCTGTTTTGTGGAGCATGATCTTCATGTTAGAAATAGGAGCAAAAACATTTTTAAAAATATGGTTGACAGAATTGAAAACAGTGCTCAGGCCATCTCTGTTTATTCTTCAGCCACCAAAGCTAAAGGGCTTCTCTGGGTGGTCACCGTGGAGGGACATTGGAGACACGGTGCTGCCTCTCCGAGCCCTGGCCTGGCTTCCTCCTTGGCTCTGGCTCCAACTCTGACCTTGCAGCTGCTTGGAAGCTCAGGGCAGAACCGGACATTCACCCCAGCTCCGTTTCCTGTTGCGCAGGGACATGTCCTCCCCTGTCAAGCTGTGCCTGTTTCTGGCCTCCAGCCTGGTTGATGCTCCTCGGGCTCTGAGTCACTGACAGTTGGTGCCCACAGCATGCCCGTCATCTGTGGTGTTTCTCTCGCCAGGATGGGACAGGGCTCGTCTACCAGCACGCCCCTGGGTGTCTGGTGCCACTTTGCCATCAGCTCACCAAGTGCATTTCTTTGACCTGGCCACCCCAGAACCTCAAAGCTGTTGCATTAAGCTGTGCTCTGGACCTTGTCTCTGGATGTCTGGGCATCTTTGCTGCAGTTGAGAAGCAGTGTCTGTCTGGGGCCTGCCAGTCTGCTGACTCTCTGGAAAGTGGCTGGTGGCAGTGCAGGAGGACTGCTTTCCTTTCAAGTCTGGCTTAGCCCGTAGTGACCACTGTCCTTGGCAGAGCCCACCTGTATAACTACTCCTTACCCTCAGACTCCTCTACACTCCTCTCTGACTCAGCTGCACCTGCCACCCATGGCCTCCCCATCCACTCAGCCTCCAGGCTGTCCCAGTTGCCTACCAGTGCTCTCCCTAGGGTCCCCCGTTGGTCTTCTGTGGCCCTCGGCCCCAATGAAGTCCCTGTGTGGCAGGCTTTGCCTCCTGGGCCCCTTTTCGTGCTGCTTTCAGAGGCGGGAAGAGGAACAGGTACTGGCTTGAGGGGGAGGGGCCCAGGGGAGACAACTTTCAGAAAACAGATCTGCTCAGTGGCTTCTGTCAGAAATGCCCAGTGACTTCTTAGGGCCTACCAGCTGACCTCTCAACCTCCCCAGTGTGGAGGGCCTGCCCACACTGGCCTCAGCATGTGCACACCGGATCCTCACCAGCCTCCCAGAGGGCCTGCTCCTGGGGCTTCCCCGGAGCCTGATCCTGCCCTGGGCTGGTGCTTGTGTTACCATCCTGCATGGCTACCTGGCTGGTGTCCTGTGGCCCTGGTGACCTTTGCACTCATGTGTCTGTTCCACCCCGGATGCCTGGTGAGCAGGGACCTTTTGCTTCCTCAACTGAGCTCAGGCTTCAGGAAACAGAGGGGGAGGTAGGACCTCCACGTGTGCTTATTGAGTGAAGTATCCAGCAGTGAAATGGGTCAATGTCATTTTTGTTTTTACGTTAAGGCAGGTATGTACATCTTTCAGCAGTGAGCCTTCCTTTCTCACTTGTGATGTCTTAAGAATCACAGCCATGATGCTACAGGGCCACTTGTGCATTCCTTGAGTACTCTGTGGCTACTTGGCTTGTGTTTGGAGTGGTCAGCATGCTCCAGTACCGCTGGGCTGGACTCAGAGGCGAGGCTGCAGAGCCCAGGGCTGGGAAGCCAGGCAGGAAGGAGACCCATCATACTGGGAAGAAGGTGGCCGTGAGCAGACCAGAGCAGCAGCCAGTCCCCTGGGAGCCAGGGGCCAGGCCTCAGGGGCCCAAGCCTTGCTAACAAATACACACCTCTTCCTACCTTTGGACAGCATGTGCTGCCATTCAAGGGCAGCTCCAGCTTAGCTGATGTGGACGTTTCTATCCCTGTGGAACATCCATGTGATGGAAATAGGATTCCATCTCTTATTACATGTGAATTGGTAAATGTGTCTTTAAGATATTTTTTACAATTACGTGGGCCATCTCTTCTTGTCCCTGGCTAGAAGTTGTTCAGGTTGGGGCTTGTCTCTTTGGTCCCACATTGGGATCCTTGCCTTAGAAGGGACTGAGAGACAACTTCATGTGGCCCCTTCATTTTACAGAGAGGGGAACCAGGGTTCCACTGTGCTGGCAGAGTTGGGTGGGAGCCCAGTCTACTCAGAGGGCAGGAAATAGAGACCAGCTGGCCACCCAGTGGTCTAATGCCCACTTACTTGATTTTGAGCTGGTTGTGAGTGATCCCCAGCGGTTGGCCCCTCTTCCCTCATACTAGGGGTTCCCTCTTTGCTTCATGGTGACCTCCTCTCCTGTTCCTTCCTGCTCGTGGACCTGCCTCCTGACTCCCTTGCTCAGCTGCCCATCTTTGCACTCATCCTCTTTCTCTGTCCTGGACCTCAGCCAGGCTGGTGTGCAGGGACAGCACCTTGGCACCCAGGGGTAGCTGCTGTGTGCAGGGTACTGCAGCAGTGGACTGGCTGGAGTATGTAAATGTCTCTTCCCTTTCTGTGTTTCAGCGAGGATGCTATGAGGAAAGCTGGCGTGGCCCACAGTAAATCTAGCAAGGATATGGAGAGCCATGTGTTCCTGAAGGCCAAGACCCGGGTAAGGCCCTGCGGGGGAGAAGCCTGGGGCAGAGAAGCTACAGGAGGAAAGTATCACAGACTCTGGGTCCCACCCTTAGGAGTGAGGGTGGGGCAATTGCTTGCGTGTTGATCGAAGGCACAGTTGGCTTTGTCTGCAGCACTGTAGGTCCTTTCATGTATCCTTCGTTTAATGAAGGCACCCAGGATGCAGGCCCAGCCACTGGCCCCAAACCTCACTGCCAGCACCTTCCACGTATGGTCGGGCCCCCTGAACCCTGCAGGGAGCTCACTCGGGGCCCCTTGCTGCTCCTGTGGAAGGGGTGAGTGCCGAGAGTAAGAACTGGGTCTGCTCAGCCCCAACCTTCCTGGGGGTTCTCACTTAAGCCCCATAGGACCCTGAGGCAAGGGCCCAGAAGGGTTCCTGTCCTCTTTTGTTAAATGAGGAAGGTGATCCTTGCCGAGGCTGAGGCCTTGAGCATCACAGGTGGAGTGGAGGAGAAGGATTCCTGTTGCATGGACTTTCCTGGTCTGGGCGTTAGCCACACCTAGCACTTCCTGTTACCACCTTCCTCCATCTGTGCTTGCTCCCTAGGGTGGGGCTGTTTTAATTAGAAATGAAGCCAAATGGTAGAAACGAATGAAATTTATTAGAAACCAAAGAAATGTGTGTGTTTGTGTGGACATGTATGTGCCTGGAAGAGCCCCGGGAGCACAGGAACTAGGTGGTGTAGGGTGGGCCCCACACTGTGGAAAAGTGTGATCAGCACTTTTTTTTAGAGCTTTATACAATTTACCCTTTAAGGTACAAATCCAGTGGTCTTTAGGATATTCAGAGTTATGCAGCCATCACCACAGTCTAATTTTAGAATGTTTTTAAAAAGAAACTCCATACCCTTTAGCAGTTGTACTCCATTTTCTTTCATCCCTCACAGCCACTTACACTATCTGCGCCATGCATTTGTGTGATTCTGAATTTTCAATGTAAATGCAATCTTACAATATGTTTTTTGTGAGTGGCTTCTTTCACTTAGCATAATATTTTCAAAGTTCATCTATGAACCATGTTATAGCACGGACCTTATTCCTTTTTATTGCTAAATAATGCATTTATGGATGGTTATTTTTATTACATTTTATATACCTACTCATCAGTTGATGGACATTTGGATTGTTTTCACTTTTTGGTCCTTAAGAATAATGCTGAATAATATAGTTCATGTAAGAATTTTTGTGTGGGATTGTTTTCATTTCTCTTGGGTATATACCTAGAGGTGGAATTGTTGGGTCATGTGGTAACTCTATATTTAGTTATTTTGGAACTGCCAGACTGGTTGCCAAAGCAGCTGTACCATTTTAAATTCCCTCCAGCAGCTTATGACATTCTCATTTTTCCCTATCCTCCCCAATACTTGTTATTGCCTTTTTTTATTGTAGCTATCATAATGGCTATAAAATGGTTTGATCTGCATTTGCCTGGTGTCTAATGATGTTGAGAATCTTTTCATGTGTGTGTGGACCATTTATGTATTTTCCTTGGAGAAATGCCTGTTCAGATCTTTTTCCCATTTTTAATTGAGTTGTTAGACTTTATTGTTGGATTGTAATAGTTCTGTATGTATGTAAATGTAAGTCTCTTACTAGATATATAATTTACAAATATTTTCAAGGATGAGATTTTTTTATTATTTTTGTTTGTATTTTCTTATAATTAAATGAACTTTGATAAGAGCTTATTGAACTATCTCAGATTTTGAAATGTTGACCTTATTGGTTTAGCATTATTTGTTTTGTAACAAGCCAGCCCAAAACTTAGTGTCTTAAAGTAATTGGTCAGGAATTGAGGTGGCTGGGATAGCCTGGCCAGGCCATTCTACCAGTCTCACTTGTGACTTCTTGTACAACTGCTTTTACCTGGCAGCCTGGCCAGGCTGGAAGAGCCATGAAGGCTTTGCACGTCAGTTAGCAGAGCCCAGACTGCCTTACAACGTGGCGGCTGGCTTCCAGGAGGGTGTGGAAGCTGCCAGTACTCAGAGGGCCTAGAGCATCACTTGGATACAGCAAGTCTGAGGGCCAGTGAAGATTTAAGGCAGGGAAAATTGCCTCTACCTTTTTTTTTTTTTTACTTTAAAAAATTTTTTATGGATACATAATATTTTACATATTTATGGAGTACATATGATACTTGTTACATGCACATAATGTGTAATGATGAAGTCAGGGTATTTGGGGTGTCCATCGCCTTGAGTATTTTGCCTCCACCTTTTGATATTAGCAGCAGCCTGTGGGTACAGGAAGGCCAGTGATTACTGGGCAGACATCGTGGAGACCAGCTACCACACAAACCCTCTCAGCAGCTGAGGAATAAGCCTTCCTTCCCACAGGAGGTGTCTAGCAGCACAACAGCCCCTCACCAGGGCAGATTGCTCTGCCTTGGCCTTTGAATTACTATAGCCCACACACTGCGCCTTAAGGATTTTAGTCCATTTCCTTTGATCAAGCAGATTCTAAATCCCTAACTCCAAGAGGAAGCCTTGAGTAACTGGAAGACAAGTATTTATAAGAACCATGCTGGAAATTTCCTGTCATTTTTACAAGGACAGATGTCTTACTTGGGCACTGTTGTCTGATGTCCATTGTTTTACTTACTGCTCAAGCTTCACATGGTGGATTCCAGTTAGTGAGGCGAGGACCTTCCCAACACATGGGCCCGTGGGAGGACTCTCCAGGCCAAGATGGCGGCCTGGGCTCACTTTTTAACTGCCCCTGCTGCCTGAGACCCTGTAAAAACAAGTGGGGAAGAATTTAAAAGGCAGGACCCAGAGCAGGGAAACAGGTAGGGAAGAATGATTTCTCTGTTTCCAGACCCCAGCAAGGGCTGGAGGTTGTGGGTCACGAGGAGAGGGATAACCTTCCTTGGGAATCCTGGCAAGCTTGTGGGTACGGAGGTGCCCATCCCAAAGGAAACCGGGATGCTAGTGGCCACCTTAGGTTGTCTAGTGTATACCCCAGAGCAAGGAAAGCCTTGAGTGTACTTGTCTAGAAGAAGTCACTAAATTGCCTGGAGTGACCTCTTGCCTCCATTGTGGGTGTAAGCACCCAAGTTAAAACCCTCTCCATCCTGTCATTGGCTGGCTCCCAGTCTAATGGGCATACCCCATTTGCACACTCTACAGTGATATCCCCTTGCAGGGACCTGTCTTGCATGCTTCATTTGTGTAAACTCCTTTTACCCCCAGTTAGCTCTGTGAAGTACATACAGTACCACTCTTCAGTTTACAGACAAGGAAACCCAGGCACACAGATGCTAATTGTCTTGCTCAGGATGTCACTTGGCTGATTAGAGGTAGACCCCTGATGTGAACCCTGGGTCTCTGGTGTCAGAGCTCACACTCTTAGCCACATCTCTTACCCATTCCCACTTATCAGAGCAAGAGACACCCAAGCACATACTTTAATTCCTTACTACCTTGATTCCTACAGGTGGGACTACTCTTTGCTGAAAGGAGGCTGAGGGAAACAAAAATAGCAGTGCCTGGGTGTGGCAGGTGATACTTATGATGGTGTCTTCAAACACTTCAACCAGTCTCCTGAAGATTCTGGAAGATTCGGCATCCACTGAGTGAGAAGGCAGTCAGGGGTCCTGGCACCTCTGTGTCAGCACCTATAGGAGCAGTGTGGAGAGATTACTAGGGCTGGATATATTTCTAAACACTTGCTTAATTGGCTGTTAGAAAATTAACCTTATATGTTAAATACACACCACTTGTTTTGTACTTTACATAGTACCGCGCAAAAGTAGTACATGTTTCTGGTTTGCAGTTTAGAAATGACTGCTGCAGACCTGAACCCTGCCTGTGGAGCTGAGGTGAAACTCTGGGGCCAGGGAGGCCAAGAGCATCAGAACTGGGAAGCCACCTTGAGACTCATCAGGGAGGAGGGCCTGGGGCGAACAACCAGCCAGCTGGAATAAATGGACAAAGCCTGACCACGTTCCCCAGGAGAGTGAGGGAGGAGGAGGATGCCAACGTGCATCTGTTAAAGGAGACACTTTCCTACCTTTAACCTTTTTAAGGGACCTCACAAGGCCAAGGTCAGGCTTTTCACCAAGTCTGAATATATCTGCTGTACCTGTTAATCAAGGACAGTTATTCACCCCAGCATCCAGCCACAGAAAGCATTGAGTTTGAACTGAGAAAAGCACAACTTGTACATTGAAAGATATGAACATGCGAAATGATGAGCATTATATTAACAACTACTGAGATCTGCTAGAAACGCCTGGGTTGTGCTGAGTACAACTGGCTCTGAACGAGGGTCCTGTGTCCTGCTCACCAGTAGGCAGTGCTCCTTTTCCCTGCCTTGTTCACACGTGTGGCTGTCAGGACTCGTGCATCACCCTGAGGAGACATACTTGTTCATAAGCCTAATTTTGTGTTCTAATTGTTGGGTTTTCAGTAGCTATATTGTGCATATATTAAGGCAGTGAGAGCAGTACTTTACAAATTCTGTTCGCCTGTGAAGAAGTTCAGGTACAATGCAAATCAGAGGAAGCATGGAAGTGCGCTTGTTTGCTTGCTTTCTGTTGATTTTATTTTTAAATTTAAGCTGGGTAGGGGGCCATTGACATTTGTTCTGTTACTCATTTTTTTGATTTCTAAAATATTTTATAATAAATGAAAATAAGGGACGGGCACGGTGGCTCATGCCTATAATCCTAACACTCTGGGAGGCTGAGGAGGCCAGATCATTTGAGCTCAGGAGTTTGAGACCAGCCTGAGCAAGAGCGAGACCCCATCTCTACTAAAAATAGAAATTAAATGGCCAACTAAAAATATATAGAAAAAATTAGCCGGGCATGGTGGCACATGCCTATAGTCCCAGCTACTCGGGAGGCTGAGGCAGAAGGATTGCTTGAGCCCAGGAGCTGGAGGTTGCTGTGAGCTAGGCTGACACCAAGGCACTCTAGTCAGGGCAACAGAGTGAGACTCTGTCTCAATAAATGAATGAATGAATGCACGC